CGGTTAAATGATGCAGAACTATTTTAAGATTATGTTGAAAAATACTTAAATATGGAGGCAGGACCATGAACGTTTTATTCATCCTAATATATCAAATACATGACCATAAACTGTTCAAAAATCAAAAGAATCAATTTTCAATGATACATGCTGTTTGTATAGGATTTTGTTTTTACCGTGGCGATAGTCACGCTTCGCTTGGGTATTATAGTAATGTTAAGTAAATAATTAGGGTCGGTATATGTGTTCAATGAACTGGAAATATATCAGAACCAATACCATATCCCTATTTAAAATATTCTACTTTCATTAGATGAACAACATATACGAATACAACTTTTTACAACACATAATCACGAGACGTTCTATATTCGCAGCAATTCTTTGAAGATTTAATGACGTTTTTTGTCTAATTGTCTGTAACAACTAATTGTTTCTGGCGGTTTTGTTATACTGCAAAGGAACTTTAAGACCACGAAGAAAAACAGTAAATTTCGTTTATCTTGATAGTAACGCGATCTTTCAACAAACGTGCTCGAAATTTCGGAACGAAATCTCAAGATACATGAAGGTTTTAATGTCAAGGAATTTCCTCATATTCACTTAATTTGTCTTCATTTCAAACATAAATAGCATATGAAACAATACAGAAACAAATTCATTTAAGGATTGAATCTTGCTTTGGTCGATTTCATGGGTTAATGAATTGAGTTGGTCTTGAAACAAATATAATGTACTGCGATGCAGTTCATGTTGAATTTGTTTCAATTCCAACTCAATTCATCACCCCATGAAATCGACCAAAGCAAGATTCAATCCTTATATTTCAATCGTGTTTTTTCAATAATTGGACCTTGTGTAAGTCTACGCGTAGAGGTAATGTAAAAAAAAGACAGCCGTCATTGAAGGACCATCATGCAACATGATCGTGTACGTTGATAATTCAATACAGCAAAACTATGTAGAAACAAAACACAATACCATATTTTAAATGTCATATTTAACTTTTATTGGTGAATTCATGAGATTATGTCTAGACGCGGTGCACAAGCTCAGCTGCGATCTACGGCAGCCATCTTTTTACTAGCTTGAAGTGGAGAGCCGCTAAATTTCGAGATTCCACATCTTCTGGAATGTGAAGCTGCAGTAATAACTAAATGTCGAATTAGACAGGGAACCAGACATGGCTTGAACGGACGAAACATTTAATATGGCATTTGTCTGTTCGACTGTATTTCATATAAGACGGGACCACATGGATCTACCACAGGGGTTCGTTACAAATGTCTGAAATGCACATGCTATACTGATACGGATCACAGCACACAGAAACATACATTTATATCCCTATGCTATACTGATATGGGTCACAGGACACATAAACATACATCTATATGTTTGTTTATGTGTGCTGTGACCCATATCAGTTATAACATGATACATATGTATGTGTATTTCAGACATTTGTACCGAACCTCTGTGGAGCTACTTACACAAGGCAGAATGGGTAGAAGTAGGATTTCTAGGGCAGTACATGACTTGTCACTACATTAGCAACCGTGAGCTGATAATATTTTACTGATTTATCGTTTTTGGTTGTTTGAACAATTTCTTGTGTTGCTTCAATTAATGATTGAAACTTGCTTTGGTCGATTTTATGGCGTGATAAATTGAGTTGGTCTTGAAACAAATTTAATGAACTGTGAAGCAGTTCTTGTTGAATTTGTTTCAATACCAGTTCAATTCATCACCCCATGATATCAACCAAAGCAAGATTCAATCCTTATATTTCAATCGTGTTTTTTCCCCAAATAATTGGAACTTGTGAAGTCTATTCTGATCGTTTGTCCCGTATTCTGGAGCTTTTGCAAGTCTACGTATAGACATAATGTAACAAATATAGTCCGTTATTGTAGGACCATCATGCAACATGATGGTGTACGTTGATAATCATAACAGCAAAATTATATAGAAACAAACTAACCAGCAACAGACTTATTTCTTACTTCGTACTTGTTATGATCATTTCTTCTGTCTCCTCCTGACTATAAACTGGTCAGCCTAATTATCATAGCTCATCGTATAATGTTGTATTTGTTTCGAATCATTTTCTCACTTCATCAGTTTGGAAATATGTGATATCAAAGTTTTCCTTTTTACATAAACCATGTACGTGTTAAACGTGTCGCAACGTTTCAAGACCGACTGGTCCCTTTGTCAAGCTATGACTGAGTGAGCGATTTGTATTATTTACCTGTACAACGATGTGCACAATTGTATAGTTTTCATATCAATTGACGCGAGACGTTTCGCCTAACGATAGAGAACGTATACACTGCATCAGATACATGTAGGTTACAGGTAGAGTGTAGTCCCTGTCCCTGTTATGACAGTATCGGGTCATAACATCGATAAAATTTCCATAATTTAATCAATCAATATATTCAATTCACATTTTATAATAATCTTACATAAAAAGGTGAATATCATTGAATCATAGTGAGGTTTTTTGCTTATCCACTTGCTAGTGCGGAGGTGAATTACTATCCGGTAGTTAGTCGGTTCCGTGGATTAACTACGCCTGTGTTATTGTCTCATAATACGGAACTGCCATTGGTAGTGTTATAAAGTGGCAAATTAGATAATTTTACTCGGTGATTGTAACGATTGAATCCAAATCCTTTCCTTTTCAGTCATGTTTCGCAAATATCAAAAGACTTAAAATTGTCAAGCCAAATTTATTAAAGCCCTTTGTTTCCATGTGTAAGAACCTGTAAGATATAAATTTAAACTGTTCTATTATTTATATACAAGCGATGTTTGCGCATCATAATTAAGGGTTGTTTAACTCTTGTTTTTTGTGATTTTGTGAAAAATATCCGAATTGGTTTACAAATCATCATTGAAAAAAAACCAAATATCGGTACAAGTTTGTCATTAAGAACCCTTGATTTACTGATGTTCTCTTATTCAAAATTAGAGCCAAGACCTTGTTCAACTATATACTAGTTATTCATGAATTAAGTTAGGTTATTTAAGAGTTCTGACTCGAACTTTTTTCAGAGAAGGCAACAGAAAATTAACATGATGTTTCGTTAATGATACTATCATGATACCGGACATTTTTTTCTATAACAATCTGTTAACACTTACTCAAATAACATATGTATCATTTTTTTTTATATGTAAATATAAAACAGGGAATGTTTATTGTTTATATAGAAGGATGAACGAAACGCACATTTACTCGCATCTTTAAACTTTTGGAGTATTTACAGTATTCCGAATTTAATATATACTGTACTAAAAGGTTACTTCGTCCCTCGGTGATCTTAGAGGCAAACCTATTGGAAATCCTATAGTGGAAACAAAGCAGGGCATATATAGATCTTTATATGAGTTACTGATTACTGGTTAATTTCTAAATTATTAATGAGTTAAGTGTGAATATTATGAGCTGTACCACTATTCAAAAGAAAGCATTGTTGCTATCATAGTTAATTGTTGATATTTACAGAACACGTATGACTGGATTATTTCATTCATATTGCATCTCATAGGGAACGACAAATTTTTAAAACAATCGGCAACATAGTGATCTAGTTGAGAAGATACTTTGACATTTGATACTAATGATCAGATATTAATTCGTAATAAGTACTGCAGGACCATTGGTACAGAACCCTTGTAATAGCTAAAGGATATGTAGCGCATTCGAGTGCGATACTAAAAAAACAAGAGTCCTTGATCAAAAATCCCAAAAAGAATATGATATAATCCTCAATTAAAATACCACATGTAAAATCAACTTTGGGTAACAGTTACATTGTTTGAATATTGTATAGAACTAAACGTCAAAATGTATAATACTGTGATTGATTATGAAGTGTCTGCCGCTAAATTGTTAAACTCATGCAATGTCGACGTAAATGATATTATGTACGGTCCTACTGACGATGAAGAAATTATTTTTGCTGTTAAACAATTTAAATGAAACAAATAAAACTCTACAGAATATACATTATGGAAGATTTAAACCGAAATTACATAGTACAATTAACTTGTTATAGTGGTGGAGAAATGAATTAATGATTATCCCAAAATGTATTAATTCGTGCTTGTTTCAATTTAAACACAACTTGGACAATATCTATATAGATTGTCGAAAGGAATAAAACTGCACTAACCTGTTATAGAACAGGTTCATTTAACTATCCGATATTAAAACTAGAAGGTAATTACACATGCCATATGAAAATGGAATTTGCACATTTTATAATGTACAGGTGGTTTTAGATGAATTTTAATACATCTTCAATTGTAACAACTCTTACAGGTCACATTATAGAAATGCTCTTTCCCAGGTGTTATCTCACAAATCTCAACTGTATATACTTTCGTGATATTATGTATGAATACCATCAAACATATTCCATTATAAACCTCAGTTTTTTTATTTGTTATCAAAGGAACACTCAACCTCCTGATATTTGTTAGTCACCACATGGCTGTCTATTGTGATAGTCCATTACGTCTTCATGTAACATGTCATATTTTTGTGCAGTTTTAAAATTTATGGGATTTAAAAAAAAAAAAAATTAAAATTAATTCATAGCTATGAAATTTATAGCTGTAAGACGGTTGAAAAGTTTTGATAACCAGTTCAAAACAGTGCATCAGTATTGCAAATATTCAAATTTGATAAATAAATTGCAGGTTTGAAACAAATTTTAATGATGATTCAAAGTTAAAAGGCCTTTTAAAATTCTCAAAAATCACAAGGTTTTGTGATTGGTAAATTATACAATCATTTGCTCCGGGTGGCTGCATGTTTTATCAGCAATTGCTTAGGGAAAGATTTTACAAAACTATTGACGTATCTATATCCTACACGAAGTAAGATATTAAGAAATACCCAACATACATGAATGTGCCTGTGTTATTATAGAGTACAAAAAGGGGATGCGAAAATATTGTGAAAAAATAATTAACGAAGGCCGCTTGCTGCCCGGGTTTATTGCTTTTCAATATTTTCGAATTCCGCGCTACATATTCCACAATATATACAAACATATGTTTATTGTATCTATTCTACATAATATAATGGAATGATATTTTTTGTCTGTGTAATTGACCAAACGACTATAACGAGAAAGGTAACCTAGATAATCTACTTATTTTAATTATGCTGTATCTAGCGATTGTTTTGTGTAAAAATCTTGTTGACCCTGCTCGTGGACTATCAGTCCCCGAGCTAAGCCATAACCTTGTAGATGGAATCTATTTTAGCCAGGTTTACAAACTGTTTGTTTATAAGGGATTCAAAGATACCCTTCTCCTTTAAATGTAGATCTATATTTCAAGATTAATATACCACTTGTACCTCTAAAATCAGTAATAAATACGGTATGCCCAAAAATGAATTAGCCTGCATCATATAGACAGTTTCAAAACCGACTCGTCTCTTTAGTCAAGCAGTTACTAAGTAAGCATTTTGCATGTTTTTATCTGTACAACTATGTGACGAAATTGTAAATGGATTATGATCCCTCTTCTACGGGACAGTATCAAGTATACACAACAAACAATCAACATTTAATACTCAACAATAGATTGCAAAAGTATCGAATACATTTTTAAGTAAAATACAGACAGCCTAGCTTTAAACAAAAAACCAAAAATAACATATTTATTGAAAAAAACAAAAATAGAGATATTTTTTCCCACATGATACGGATTATATAAGATATCTCCATTTTTAATAAGAACTTTCTTAAATTGATAGAAAGCGTTTATTATATATCGTTAAATTGATAAAGATATCTGGGAGTGTTTATTATACATGTCTCAATTGATGAAGATATCTCAGAGCGTTTATTATATTTCTCTAAATTATATGATATCGGAGTCAAGACCTAAGATTCTGTAACATAATCATAAGTTGGCCCGAGACTTGGATAACCAGATCTTGCTCAGTTATAGGTAATTGGTTTTTTGCTTGCTTCTTTTAGTTTGAAAAATACTCGATTTCGCTCAAGTCTACAAAGTATCCCGTCTTGTGCCTCAAATAAATATAGCCTCTTCACTTCAAGCTATGTTATATTTCAGTGTAGATAATATTTTATTTATATCATTAGGTATCAAAAACAAAACATTTGGCAACTAAATAGAACTTAGATACGAGACATATTTAGGTAATACTGAATCGCCGTATACATTTGGTGTGCCTTTAAGTATGCATCCGGGAAACCATGCATACGTCTGTCTAATACCCGCAAATGTTCAAGTATCTGGTATTTATTTAGTCCTCTCTTCTTTTTGTCCAATGTTTCGTATCGTTCATCAACTGGATTAGCCGTGATGCGCCTATTCATAGTATGGAGATTCTGGAATTTGCAAGAGATTTTGATTGAATATTTAATGTTAAGATATAGTAAAAAAAACTGTTAAATTTTAAAGAAAATATTGTTTTTTAGTGGTTACGTAATTGTCAAAATAATAATATGTTTAAATAATGATTTGAAAGAAAGTTTTGTTTACATTTGGTTCTTAACGTACATATTTTCCTTCATGTTTCCTTAACATTTCAAATTAAAACAACGTCACCCTCTCTCTATTCATAGTTTGATTGATATATGACCTACGCGTCATATAAGTGGTAACAGCATTACCAATCGTTCTGAGAATAATATTTATAATAATAAGTCGCCATCTTGTAATTTAACAAATTTAGTTTATGATGAAATATTAAAATGTTCGGAGAAACATAATTTTAAAGTACTGTAAAAGTGGAAATTCTTGCGTGTTCAAATGTTTGCGCTGTGACTCAGGAAACTGCTTGTGATGTAAAACTTAGCAATTATAATTCTGAAATAGATATTTTTAAACATCTATAATTAAAAAATATCTTTGAATATATATTCGCGTGTGTATATTTTCGCGCTTATTCACTCAGCGGAAAACGCAAGCATATCCACGCCACGAGTATGTCCACTTTTACTGTATAAATATTGAAGCTTACTACCTTCGTTGGCTGGTATGGTAGCTACGCTAGATATTTCCTTCTACTTTGTAGCTGGCTTAGTTGCGCTTTGAATTCTTGAGAGACGTTTGACAAGTGCAACGTACAAGATGAGCAATACCAGAACGAACACTCCTAATGTGCAACCTGTCACAACTGCATCAATGTTGAATCTGTCTGTTAGGGTATTAATTAAAAATGTATTACATTTCAAAGGACTTCAAATTGTTAATAAAATATAAAATGGACACAACAATTATCTTGAAGTGAAGATTGACATTATTTAATAACTGAATATGACCGATTCACATAGCCACACATTGATCCCATTATTTAATTATATGTGATAATGTGGTGAAGAAAAATGGAATTTACTCAAGCAAAAAGACATATATAATATAAATGTTTCCGGTACCCTTGACTGACCTCCAAGCCTAACAATTTTATCTCACCCGAGCGCACTACATCCAGTGTTGGGATAACTTATTCACCGAATGCCAAATTGATGGAGAAACAACTTTATATGTATATGACCTCTCTATTTCAAACTAAACAATTCCCGTATATATATACTCTCACTAAACGCTTTGATTGAAGCATGTATAACTTCACTAAATCCTTCAAAACCATATACTATCTCATTTTACGCTACCTTTTTATTTATACTCTCAATTCGCGCTTCGCTATATATACACACTTTCACTTAATGCTTTGCAACAAGTGTCAGGGGCGTTTCTAGGATATTTGAAAGAGGGGGCGTAGAATCAAATCTTTCGCCGAGCGGATCGAGGCGAAAAATTCTTTGGACCTTTTTTTTGCTAAAAAACATAAAATAATTGTGAAATGCACTAATGTAACGGTTCCTGACTTGGAGCATGTATATTTTATAGTTAAAGTGTCAGGGTTTGACATTTTTATGCCGAATTCTCTCCATTAATTGTCTATGGTATATTAAAATGATTGAATGGATCTTAACAGCAGTAGACCAATAACGAGAAATTCCAAATTCTAGGGTATAAAGCGTTACTTAACATTTCAATAGTCCAAGGCCAGGAGGATTTTATGCACGGGAGGCGTAATTACGGTTGCCCTGGTAGAGGGTCAATGGGGAAGCTCAGAAGCTCCTTGATTTCAACAATTTAGCATCAAATTATGAAGTAGCCAGACTGATAAATATCTCTCTATTTTAGATTAAGTTCTGGTTTCGTTGAATGACACACATGATACAAGACAAACAAACACTGAAGTATAAAGTTCTTCCGTTCTAAATATTGTAGGCTTAAATGTGGAATACATGTACATGTTGAATATGAAAAATTGACGTCATTGTAATACAGTACTAAATTAAAGCAATCATGTCACTGTCTAGTTCCGATAGGTGGTATATGGTACATAGATAAATATGGTGCTTGAACTTCATGGCAAAATGTAGGTCAATGTCACTTAGTTACTCACTAATGGATATTGAAACAATATGATACTACCAAAGGCTATCCAGATGGGAAGTAAAAATGCTATACCAAATATACATGTTACTAGTAAAAATGTACCTTAACGCAAAACATAAAATGAACACAGAAATACTGACGGACTCTCATTTTCAATGAATGGTTAGACTAGTGTGGATTCATTAGAACCATTTTACGCGGATTTCTCGTGGCGTAATCGTCAATTATTTTATCATAATCGAGTTTAATGTCTCTGTGAACATAAAGAAGAAGCAGAGCAATAAGACGATCCTCCTTCATGGTGCTTCTCAAATTATTTTTGATCAACTTAAGTGATAAGTTAGCTCTTTCGATGGAGGTTGACGTGACGCTCGTCAAAGCAAGTAAGAAGAGAACTATCATGATGTTTGGAAATAAAATCGAGCATGCCCTTACATCAGTTAAGGTTGATGTAATTGACTCTGGTTTGTCCGGTTGGTTATCCCAAAACGACTTCCAGATTCTCTACTCTTGCCTGAATGTTTCGGGCGAAGGCATATCAGCATTGTAATAATCATAAATATCATTCTCCATATCTTGGGAGATAAGGTGAACTCGGGAAGGCAAAACTGACAGGGCACGAACAACAGAGACAGCCGCTTGACCAAAACGCATATCAAGTTGCTGAATTAGCTCATCAAGATAAGGTAAAAAGATTGCCCGTTTAAAGTGTTCTTTATCTGATGTAGGGGGAACATTATTACGTTGTGTCTGTCAAGCACAACGACGGGGCATTTTTAGCTCATCAAGTCCGGCCTTTACTGCCATGCCAGACGCTTTACTGTAAACTAAGTCCAACTCTTGTTCATTTTTACAGGTTTCTTCGATGATCTGTTTCACAGCTCCGATCACTTTATAACCTTCAACAATGTCCAAAGATGAGCCTTGAAGCTTAGAACTTACTCCACGTAATTAACCAAAGAAGTTGTGTACTGTATGGAAGCACATAATAAATGTACTATCTGTTATCTTGGACAGAAGGCCACGAGNTGTGTCTGTCAAGCACAACGACGGGGCATTTTTAGCTCATCAAGTCCGGCCTTTACTGCCATGCCAGACGCTTTACTGTAAACTAAGTCAAACTCTTGTTCATTTTTACGGGTTTCTTCGATGATCTGTTTCACAGCTCCGATCACTTTATAACCTTCAACAATGTCCAAAGATGAGCCTTGAAGCTTAGAACTTACTTCACGTACATAACCAAAGAAGTTGTGTACTGTATGGAAGCACATAATAAATGTACTATCTGTTATCATTGACAGAAGGCCACGAGCGTCCGTAATAGCCTTTCGGTCCCACGAACGTCCCTCATTGGAGCTTATGGCTTCTAAACACGCTACCAATGCCTCATACATTGTCGCGAATGTGTCGAGTGTGAGTGTTTGAGAGAATCTAGCATGAGATGGATTTCTGTAACCTTACAACTTTTACACAGCACTAAACTTAGATTGGGACTAGCACAATAATGATGCGTTGCGNGGCCTGCATCATCATCCCGATGTCCCCTAAGCGCCATTCCACGCCTACTACAGAACTCTAAACACTCAAGCATAGATCTGATTATATCGCGGTTCTTACCGATGATTGCTGCATTATTCGATTTCAGATTGACATCGATTCTGAGCGACTGATTGACACACGATTTCTCGAACCCGTTCAATCTAACCATCGAGTCAGCGTGATAACCAGTCTGCGCATGCTTTTTCAAATCGATAGTGGCGTCTTTCCATTTATTGAATGGTTCTGTAACCAATAATCTTGGTCGGCGACCGGATGTGTCCGCAAAAAACTTAGAAGCAAGGCAATATAACCCATCTTTTGACTTTGAATATGCTAAATCTTACTAAACCCTTAAGAAAATGCTTCCTATAATCCGAAACATATTATTGCTACAAACATGTTGCAAGATGACCGCTACATATATATGCCAGTTCGCAAGTGACAACAGTCGTGATGAATATGTTACGCACCTCCACATTGGCCATTGATCCGGTCACACATGCTGTCTGTACATCCAGTGGAACATTCTCTGTCACAAAAATCAGCGTAGTAACCAGTCTCACATTCTTAAAATAGAAAAGTAACACAATGGGCCTGCATTGCTCATCTAATCTTATTTCAGACTGTTACTTTAAACAGTTCAATATACTGAAATGCTTCAGATAGAATAAATTTACATCTGAGTTTTGCTTTTCAAAATAACCTCTTAAGGGTTATTTACACTCATTTGACCCAAGTGACCTTTAAAGTGTAACAATGTCATTCAACAGAACACATTTGGTAGTATTTAATCCGATCAAGCCACTGGCCAAATATCATCTTTTTGTGCCCTTTGTCTATTGAGAAGAAAATTTACATATATTACTTTATATGAACTAGAAAGTTGGTCAAGGTCATTTGTTTAAAATAACT